CATCCACTGAACTCACTATTACTGGTGTAACTCTGTCAGATTCAACTCTCTATTATTGTGCTCTAAGAGTAGCAGCCCAGTGATACAAAGTCTATGTGAAGCCATACAAAATCTCAAATTCATTCTTTGCTTTGAAACTGAACCTCATCAAAACAACAATCTATTATACACAGAAACTAATAAATTATGCAGAAACATGTGCGTGCGAGTAAGATTGTAAGCATTTTTGACTCTTACAGACAATATCATAAATTCAGGACATTTCAGCTAATAGCATCATAATGGTATTTATAATATTTATTTTAAGATTATGTATTTATTATTGTTTTGTGTGTGTGTGTGTGTGTGTGTGTGTGTGTGTGTGTGTATGTGTGTGTGTGTGTTAATTATCTGCTTTCCACAACCAACATGATATATTTATTATTACCAAAAGTGTCATTGATGTGCCCTAATTTTACATATTTTTATTTTGTAAGAACTAAACAATTGTTTAGTTTTTACAAAATATAATGTGTAAAATTAGGGCCCATCCATGAACCTGATGATCTGAGGATCCTTCTGGGGCAAAAACAATCAGTATGCAGTATGCAAAAAAATTCAGACACTGCCAAAATCTATTGAATCAAATTAATTTTAATAAGTAAATGTGACCTCAAGGTAGCAGCAACCCTTAGATTCATAGTGAAGCTTTAATACACAAGAGCTGCAAATTTTAAGAATGGAACGAAGGATACAGACATTGAAGAGAAAGTAAATTAAATTAAATTCAAATTTATTTCTGTAACTTCGCCTCTAAACTAAGACATAATGTGAAAATGGCTGAATTCGCGAACAACATGCAACAACAAAAAAAACTTGTGTGTCTTTGCCACAACAGACCATGTGATTAGACAACTGGACTAACCAGCAGACTGATCCCAATGCACACAATCTCAAATGTTGTTTGAGTCATTCTGAAATTCCTGAGCTGAAGTCTGTCATGGTTAAACTTACGGTGGCCGAGAGAGCTCAACGCGCTGCAACTTAAGAAAACACATGCAAATTGAAAAAACACCAGCAAATTAAGAAAACATCTTCATCAGTTTGACAACACACGCGCTGCAAATCCTCACAACACATGCAAATGAAGAAACGCCTACCTCTCAGAACTGTCTCACAAGATGTGTTTCCAAACATCAATATAAAATAACATTTTTCAACTTCCGATATAATTTTGTTCTCTTGAACACGAGGGATGGACACGGTGCTTTATTCGCAAATTATTTATGCAACATTCCATTTTTTTGTAAAAGTTAAATTCACAGCTTTAGATGGAAACATAGCTAATGATCATGTGCCTCACTTTCACTCAGAAACAGGCAACTCTACGACAGACTGTTCCTGGCATATATTACAGTATGTTGCACAGCAAAATAAATATATTGTCAGAGAAGATGATGAGCTGATGTGCAGACCAAAATGATCCTCAATAACAATCAGCAGTTACGTTAGACTATGTGTATTAAATTTCTAATTAATCTGTTAGAAATGCATCAATTCAGCACTGGGGGGCAGCATCCCTCAACAGTGCCATCAATAACATGTGAGGATTTAGACCTGAAGACTTGAAAAATCAAGAGAAGAGCAGCACAGAGGTAACAGAGAGCTACAGTAAAGACAAAGAGACACATTCATTAGAAAACACATCAAAACATTAATCTCAACCATGGAAAAACTGATGATTATTGTGCTTTTCTTCTCAGCACAGGACTCTGGTAAGAAAGATCACTATTTATCACACTTCACAGATACTATTTTAGTTACTTAATGTATCTAAATTATAATCTATTTTCCAGTGTCGTGGGGGCAAGACAGAGTTGAACAGCCTTTAGGAGAAATGACTGCAACTAAAGGAGATCCAGTTACTCTACAGTGCAATTATTCTACCATTGCTACAAATGCTTATCTCTTCTGGTACAAACAGCTACCAAACAGATCACCAACATTCATTCTGAGTGAATTTACAATTGGTAAAGGAACTACTGAAGATGAATTTAAAGAGAGATTTTCTGCAACATTGGACTCCAAATCAAGCACAGTTCGACTGACAATCAAGAATCTGCGTGTGTCTGACTCTGCTGTGTACTACTGTGCTCTGAAGCCCACAGTGACTGAAACATACTCAACACTCATACAAAAACAGAACTAAATATAGAATAGATAACAACTTTTGTGCAAGACTCCCTCTGCAGTCAGTTAGTGGTATAATCACTATTTTGCTCATGTTAAAATTTGTATTACTCTTAATATTATTGGTTCATTAACCATTCATATTTGTATTTTTCGTAGACAAAATCATCTGCTAAATAAATATATTTACATTTACATTTATTCATTTAGCAGACACTTTTATCCAAAGTAATTTGCAAATGAGGAATACAAAAAGCAATTCATCTTAAGCAGGAAATAAACCCAAGAAGTGCTAGTAATGCAAAGTTTCAGACAGCTTCAGAATAGTACAAATGTAATTTCATGCAGTGGCAAAAGCTTTCCTCTAACCAATGGCAGAGGAAAAACATGAGAAG